TAAAAAGATTGAATGTTGCACATTGCTATTAATGAATAAGCTTTTCAAAGCTTTTCAAATGTAACCAATAAGTTTTAATAATAAAAAAACCAAATATGCAATGTTGTAATAATTTTGTTGGAAAGTAAAGTGTTATTTTTCATATTTAGCTCATTTCTAATCAACCGTCACATTTTCTTGATTTAAAAGAAATTATTGATACTTGAGTATTCCAATAATCAAGTATTTTGTGTTCAAACAATTGAAAAGGGTTTGAAAAGAGCCTATGATGATGCTTTATTATTTGGAGTTTGATACAATATTGCTCATAATTGTGGATGAAGAGTTCATCAAATATCGCAACACTTGCTACATTGGAGAGATAGCATGCTGACAATACGAAAAACATATTTACACATCTTATTCTGTTATGTACAAATACAATAGTGTCGATTCAAATAATATAATACAACATTGTCGATAGTAGATGATTGAGGTTCTCATCCGGACCCTTACTATCATTTTATCCAAAAAAAAATTTGTATTTATTTTTTGAGTTTCCATAACTAGTGTGTTATGTATACATTAGGGAAAATGACTCTTAAGGGTAACTAACTATTGCGTTTGTTCTCATCTGGTCTCTTTCCTTTTTTTTGTACTCAATATACCATCAAACTTGTTGTTTGTGTTTACCATAACCCTTTTGACCGGCTTTTGACATGTGATAGTCGGTCAAAGGGTTATGGTGAACACAAACAACAAGTTCAATGGTACATTGAGTACAAAAAAAGGAAAGGGACCAAATGAGAACAAATACAACAGTTGGTTACCCTCCTTGCTTCTTTTCAAAACATAACCCACGAAAGAACATTATTCATACATGTACAGCTTTGTAATGCACTTGAATATTTATTAGGGGAATCTTGACTAAGCAGGTGTATTTTATGACTATATTTACATTTCCAATCAAATGATTTATCGTATCATGGATTCTAGACAAGTCTACAAACGATTGGAATCATAAGTGCTGTGATTTTTGAGTTTACTTAGCTTTAAGATCGAATTCATGGGATAAGATACAACATCAATATGTATAATATCATGCAGCTTTTGTAGACACATCTCCATAATATACCTTGAGGTAAACATTTATGTTGATAAATATACCTCTCATACACAGTTATATCCTTTTGCAGAGAGGTGTTGACAGCTAACCACAGTAAACATAGCATAGACCATGTTTTAACAAAGTTACCCCTCCGAAACGCTCTTCATATACGTTATGACCAAAGAAGGTTGCAATCTTTGATAATTTTGCAACTTTAATTTCATTTAACTTTTCGGGGAAAATGACTCAGGAGGGTAACCAACTGTCGATTTTGTTCTCATTTGGTCTCTTTCCTTTTTTTTGTACTCAATATACCATCGAACTTGTTGTTTGTGTTCACCATAACCCTTTGACCGACAATCACAGGTCAAAAGTCGGTCAAAAGGGTTATGGTGAACACAAACAACAAGTTTGATGGTATATTGAGTACAAAAAAAAGGACTAAATGAAAACAAACGCAACAATTAATTACCCTCAAGAGTCATTTTCCTTATACATTATCAATGTTTACAAATGCCATAGCCTCATAAAAGTTTATTATGTACTAAACATGTTTAAGTTTAAAACTCGAGGACCAAATATGCATACCAAGAAGTATTTTAGTGAGCGTTTTGCAATTTACCATTAATGTCATCTCTATTATCTTATGTCGCCACCATCACCACCGATCGGTATCCGTTTATCCTCTCACTCCGCCGTCATCCTCACCGCCGAGACCACACACTCAAACACAGACATGAGCGCCTGCAAATTCCTTCTCCGGTATTCTCTCTCTTGCTTAGACTTCAGTACAACACGCATCGCAACGTGTACTCCGTCTTTGCATTTCCCCCGCCACCGTCTTCTCTCTCAAAGTCCAGGTGAATCTCAATGTTTTCTCAATTGTTATACTTCATGTGAAAATTATCCTCTTATGTGCCTATGCAAACACTTCAATTCGAAGGTTTAGGGTTTAAGCTTAAAACATACCGGCATTCCTCAAGATCATATGGATCCATTCAAGCTTCCGTTTCGATTGAATCGACTGAAGATAGCTGTACATGTGCCGAGGAGGAGGAAGAAGAAGAAGAAGAAGAAGAAGAAAAAAGTAAACGAATTTCAGTTAGAGATCTGTTGCGGAGAAACACAAACGACGACGTTGCCAGCTTCATGAAGATGGAACGGAGGACTGAACCACAATCAAACCGCTGGTTTCCTTACCTGGACAAATTCAAATCTGGAAACACGTATTTGAGTAGCGGAGAGGTGTTGGATGCAGTTGATCCTTCTTTAATGGAGCTCAGAAAGGAGAGGTTCATGAACGTCGTGAATAATCGGACCTACTCTGTGTGTATGGTGGTGGAGGGTTTATCAGATCCCGGGAATGTCTCTGCAGTGTTCCGGTCAGCAGATGCTTTAGGGTTTCAGTCCGTTCATGTGGTGTCTCTTGACAGCCGGAAAAGGTGTTAACCCAATCTGAGGTGACTTATGCATTATGCACTCACCAATTGATGACATCTTTACAAAAAGTCTTTGAATTTGTTGTGTTTTTGGAATCCATTATCCATTCCTCTCATCTTCAACATGTAGGTATAGAGAGCATCGCCATATTAGTATGGGAGCTGAGAAATGGTTAGATATTGAGCTCTGGGATTCTGCTGAAGAATGCTTTCAAGTTTTGAGGTCACGTGGCTATCGCATTGCTACAACTCACGTGGGAATTGAAGCTGTAAGTATGGATTTTATACATTTAGCTATAAAGGTTTCATTCACATTTATGAGACAAATAAAATTGTTTTTATTTTTATTTTTATTTTTAAATACAGGTTTCTATCTATGATATGGATTGGTCATGTCCCACTGCTATAGTTGTTGGAAATGAGGGCAGGTAGTAATTAACCTATTACTAAGGGTCTGTTTGATATGCCTCTTACGGGATTTGGTAAAAGACTGGATCCGACTCGGTCAGATAACAATTGAGTCAGATCTGATTGAGTTAAGGCCTGAACTCAATCATCAACTATCAAACAACCTTTAAGTATATGTTCTTTTTTTTTTTTTATAAAAAGAAAATAAGATGTTATAACTATAATAAGCAAAGTAATGAAAGTAGGTTGATATGACAGGGGGATTAGTGAAGAAGCTTTGAAAATGTCAGATATGCATTGTAGTATTCCAATGAAAGGAATGGTGGATTCATTTAATGTGTCAGTTGCTTCCGGAATCCTCATGCACCATGCTGTATGTGATAGAACTTCACGTTTGGTAAGAATTTTTTTAACCAATTTCTATTTTAGGACACCTACTTTCAAAATCAACGTTTAAGGTCCTTTAACTTTAATTATTATAGACTTATAAGCATTGGTTTTGAAAGTACATTGGTATACTGAAAGTGTGTTAATTTTGTTTTTTTACATGCGAAGGGTGGTCATGGTGATTTAACATCAGAAGAAAAACAAATATTGCTTGCGGAATTTTCTTTAAGACATAGTAGGAGTTCAATGAGCATTGCACATGAGTATGCAAAGCGTAAGGTCAAAAGTGTATGAAACTTTGATAAATGAACACATGGTTCATATTAAGGCATTGTACTTTAAAGAATTGTTTAGTTATAGCATTTGTACTTTTGGGATTTTTTTTTTTTTTGGTTATGACAATAATGGATCGGGATTTGGAATGGAATTGAAATTATTCTTTTGTATATCTTTTACAGGAGTTAGAATGTATGCATGTTATATGACAAATTTGCCGTTTTTTTAATTATTTATTTTTTTTGTTGTATATATAATTTATATAAAATAGGTTATAAATAATTATAGAAACAAATAAGTTACCTTTTTGTTAATATTTGTTTGTGTGATGTAATTTGAAAAATGTTGCACAAAAAATGGTGGAAATAGTGATATCCTGCACCATAGCATTATTTTTTACATCAAAAAAATAAATATTTGAAGTATATTCTCTTTGCCTAATTTATTTAGATTTTCAACAACATACATTTGATTTATTAGTTTTTTTTTACAAATTTGTCTTATATCTATTTTCACAATTACTTTAGAAATTATATTATTAAACAAACATAAATAAACAAATCTGTATATAATTTGAATTAGTTGTTATGTATTAATTTTACTAGTTGTGAAACCCATGTATTACATGGGTTAATTTAAAATAAAAAAAAAATTAAATATAAAGGTCAAAATATTTGAGAACTTTAAATTTATAGGAAAATAAGAAAAATAATGAATTATTATAATAAATATGTTTTTTATCTTTTAAATTTGAACAAATAATTTAAATAAATAACAGAAGCTAAAAAGCTTTATTTTTTAGAATTTTGAAATTAAAAGGTAAGTTCATTAATGAAATTGATATCCATTTATTACTATATTTATTGCAATTATTATATTAAAATATTATATGGAATTTAATAAAATAGAAAACTCATAAAATGACATGTGGAAAAAAATTAATTCAAAATAACCACAAAATGACATTTAGCAAATTGAATGAGAGTGTGACAAGTGGCAAAAAAAATCTTCATTTATTAGAAAGGATTAGATAAAGAAAGTGGCATTTATAACACAATTAATCGTCTATGAAACGATTATTACATTTATTAAAATGTAACGATACAATTTGATTGGTTTGAAATTGGTAAACTCAAACTTTAAACAACTAAAATAAACTAAATATGTATAAACTCAAACTAAAAAGACCACAAATTACATTAAATCTTAACGCCAAATTTGATGTAGATTTATAGAAGTAGAAAGAACTATGATTGTTGAAACTGTTGACATTGTACTTCTGGGATGAAATTGTCGAACACAAGTTGCTACACACAAAATAGATCCATTAGTGTGAAGAGACATTCCAAGATATCTTAAGAAGTCCCTAGACATATCATACTTCATGTGTTTGGCTAGCCATGCTACGCTACATCTTGAATCAAAAGGATCCATTGTCTAAGTCTGAGGTCAAAGCTGATGAATGAATGAATCTTCAATTTCCAAAGCTTTGTGTGTCTATAAGAAAAAGAGAAAGATTATTGAAGAATCTATTCATGTGAAGTATGATTAACATTCAACCTGCTCACAATCTACCTCAGAAGAACATCAGCCTCCTATTCTTAAAAAACTTTTTCATCCATATTCAATAGACATTCACCAAGATTTCTCTCAACATTGAATCCCATCAAGCTCCCACTATAACAACATTAAAAGATCATCCATCCAGTCAGATTATTGGTAATGCAATACAGACAAGGAATCAAGGTTCTATTCCTTGTTTGGATCAAGTATCCATTTGGTGTCATGAATACACCAAATTTGGTATTGTATTGTTCATCTACTTTAGCATTAAATCGTTATAGGAAGAACATTTGAATCAGAAAATGGAAAGAAAGATATCAGAATGCAACTGAAACTCTGCTGATTTTAAATAATCGGTTTTTGTGCTTATTTTGATCTTTAATAATGGAGCAATGATTATGAACACACAAGTTTAGTTTAGTTCTCAACATGAAATGTAATGATAATTTCTATGATATGATATGATTAAAAATTTTACAAGTTGTTTTAAGAAAAAAAAAAAGAAACCTGTTTTGAGTAATACCAAACAACCAACCAACGAGATGCTAATAATAGATACAAGAAATTACAAACTCTAAAACTAGAGTCTAATCAATCAATTAAAGGCCTTGTACTTGTAGCATCTGGTGATTGAATAGAAGATTTAGAGCTGCTTTGCATGCTCATATCTTCTTGCTTCCTTTGTTGTAACCTCACAAATTCTTCTATTTTCTGTTTCAACTCCGTGTCTGGAATTAACATGTCCGGTGTAAGATGTGATCGATTGAACGGATCCGTCTGCCAAAAAAAACAAAAATTAATACAAAATTCTTTTACTGTGTTTGACATGTATCAGACTGAGACACTGAGACACTGAAACCGATGTCAATGCGATTAAAAAATTTTACTTTTTTTGTCCCGCCCAAAAAATGGGACAGGGACTTGCTTTTGATTTCTTGTTTGCGCAAAAGACATAAATACCCTCCTTGTTTGTGCAAAAAACACAAAAAAGCCCTTGATTCGCATGCATTGGACCGGGACTGAGAGTCTAAAAATGCAATTTTTGTCCCACTTAAAAAAAGACAAATCTCTCATATGTGCAAAAGACGTAAATGCCCTTAATCCTCATCATCATAAAAAATAGCACTGGAATGGGACCAAAAGTCCGAAACCGATATCAATGGGACAAAAATTGCAATTTTTGAAGCTCTCTCGCTCTCGTTTGTGAAAAAGACGTAAATGCCCCCCAGATAAAGATAGAAAATTTACAGGGTCACTGAGAAGATGCCTCTGAATCACGGGTCTGTCTACTATGATTCTTGAAGATGGTAAAATGACGGGATCTTTCATCAGAGTGTACTGCAGATTCCAACATTTATATTTGTGTCGGTAAAACGTATTTTCTTTTTTATAAATAAAAAAATATATATATGTAAAAGGACAATATTAACCTGGATTGGATCAAGAAATTCATCTGGAATATCTCCCAAAATAGCTTCAGCATCCATGGCTTCGGATGCTGCAGATCTAGCTTTTTTACCCAAATCATCAAACATTCTTGGATCTTCACTGATTCTTCTAAGAACATTTGCAGCTTCCGTAAATAACTGCACACACATTTATAATTTATAAATAAATAATTTTTATAAAACCTTGTAATATAATTATTTAAAAATTAAAAAAATACCTGGTCGTTGTAGGAACGTCCATCTTTTGTAATGACATATATGTTGACAATCTTCAAGATATAAAAAAATAATAATTAGATATTTATTATATTCCAAATATATCATTTAATAAAAGAAAAGAAAAGAAAAACCTGTTTAAGCAATTGTTTTGGGCGAAACTCGTATTTTTCAGGATCTTTTAAACTCAATGATTTTCTTTGAGGGCCCACAAGCTGTAACAGGAAATAATTCAACATACTGCCAACTCTTTCAACCTGAAATATAAGGAAATGATTATTAAAAGTTTATATTTTATAAAGTGGAAATGAGATTTATGTTGGGAAAGTAGGTTACCATTTCGGGTAAGAGGAAAGGGGCTGTGATTTGCTCAGTGGTGAAAGCAAGCATGCTCACGTCTTCCATGGCTAACTTCATGTCAATCTTAATAATCTATATATATACCAATCACCCATATAACTTCGTTTTTAATACAAATTTATAATACAAATATTTGGGAAATTTGCAAAAACGACTTGTACTTTCATCATTTTCTGTAGTGATTCGATTTAGACCATAACATTTTTTTCAAAAGGGAAATGTACAAAAGGGCACAACATACTTCACCACATTATCGATTTGAAAAGAAAGAGTTAATTACGATTTTGGTCCCTGCGTATAACCGATTTTTGCAAATTTGGTCCTGAAAAGTTTTTTATTGCAATTTTGATCCTTATTTGGTGTGTTTGTAACATTTTGGTTCTTGTTCCAAGTAATATGACTATTTTTGGGATCAAAATTGCAAGAATCATCTATGCTAAGGGACCAAAATAGTAATTTCACTAGGAACATGGACCAAACACGTTACAAAAACCTCAAATAAGGACCAAAAATGAAAGAGAATACTTATTGGGATCAAAATCGCAAAAATCAACTATATTCAGGGACAAAACATAAAAAAAATAACAAGTCAATGGCTAAATTGACAAGATAATGAATCTACATTGCGTTTTTTGGTATTTTGTGGTGTTTTTAGATGGTCAAAAAAGTATTAATGGGTAAATCGAGAAAATGACGAAAATACCCCTGTACATATTTTGAAGGATAGAAGGGAGAAAAGACAAAATAATGGTTGTACATTGCGTTTTTTTTCAAAACAGGAAAAAAATGGTGTTTTTAGATGGTCAAAAAAGTATTAAATTGAGAAAATGACGAAAATATCCCTATAAATATATTTGAAAGGATAGAGAGGGAGAGAGGGGGAGAAAAGACGGACATTTTCTTGAGAGTGGAAAAGTCTAGTTCTCTCCTGTCTTTCTTGTGCTGATCTTTGTTCCCATTCAGTTGTGTTAGCCATTTCAGCTTCAAGCTCTTTAAGCTCAAGAATCTTGTTCAGACTTTCATCAAGAAGAAAGATGCTATCGTTGATTAAAAAGTTCAAGTAAACACCCTTTTCCTCTTCTTTCGCAATCTGTAATTTTTTCAAAAACAGTTACAGTTAATAATGAGTTGATTAAAAATTATAATAATAATAATAATTACCTGTTTTCAAGCATTTTGGTGGACAGGGACTTGCCAAAGGTATTCTAGAAGTTCAGCAATGTTATGGCGGATGTTAAACTTGTCATAAAACTGCATAACAGTGAACAAATATCATAAGAAATAGCAATCTACTTTTACTCTGTTTATTATAGAATCCAAATTTCATTTCTTCTCATTACTTTTTTTTTACTACTAAGACATTCTATTTTGAATATCTATGTGATCATAGCAATGTACTTTTCATTTCTTTTCTTATTAAATACATGATATTTTGAATTTTTTTTTAAAAAAAAATTGTAACAGTGAAAGTTGCTTTGTATTTGGATGACATTGCTAAAATTACAACTCTTTTGCTTCTTCTAATTGCATCATTGTACTTTTAACTTTTTTATTAGTATGGTTTTGTACTTTGGAATATCTAAACAGCTATATATAACATTGTTGTACTTTCAACTTTCTCTTATAAAAACATGATGTTTTGAAAAATCTAGAGAATTTATAACAGTAAAAACTGTTTTTGTACTTTGATGACATTGCTATTTCTTTAAATATTTGAAATAATCACTCACCTGAGTGTGGGATCCTGTGAACTCGATATCCACATAGAGTTTCAAAAGATTCTTCACAAGATACTGAACAGAGAGTTGGTGCCCCTCAAAAAGTGTACTGGTAGCAGAAGATGAGCCACTTCACACACAAACACACACACAACACGTAAAAAGATGCAAATACCCTTTGTAAGCAAATAACATAACATGATAGAATCAATAAATAAATACCTCCTACGAGGCATCCAACAATTCAAGACTTCAACCATTTTGGCTCTTAGGTAAGGGTTCCTAATGTACTCTGGACTTGCCATAAACATGATAATAAAGTTCATAAAATCATCCTGCCAAAGAAAAAAAAAGCAAAAGTGAGAGACTAGAGAAGATAATTAATAAAAAGTTTTTAAAAAAAAAAAAAAGAATCTGTTTTTAGTACCAATTTGACACCATCTAAAGCTCTAGGGATTCTAGAAGCAAAAATAAGCAACTCCATAACATCTTCCACAAAGTGTTCAGGCATACATGCAAATTCCATGGGGCAAGGTTGTGGTAAAGGCATTTTGAAACCACCAATTCTACTCACTAACCAAACCACCATTAACTGATAGAAAGATAATGCCTGTTGAAGTAGTCCTGCATCCTATTTTAACAAAAAAAAAAAACAGAATCACAAAACACAATCACTTCTTTTTTACTCAATCTGATAAGCTATATATAATATATCAGTGTCTTTTAGAAGAAACTGCAGGAAATAGCAACCTACTTTACTCTTTTTACTAATATATGAAAAATACACTTTATCTTTTCTGATAATAGCAATATGTAACATAATACTTTCCCAGTAAGTCCTAACTATTTACAGATTTGCCCTTGTCTTTTTCTCATTTATCAAGACAAACAAAGGCCTCACATTGATATATACCATGAAAAAGATTTGAAAACTGAAACTCAAATACTGAAAAAACGAAAAAGACTAATTTACCCTCAGTATCTGAGCTTCATAACATAATTTCTCCTGTGTTAACGTTTCGATTTCCTTCTTGTGTCACTCGAGGGGAAGGTGTTTGCTCTTGCATGGTTTTCAAGGTTGCTAAACTATCTTCACTTCTTTGAATATCCTGCTACCAAATAAAGCATTGAACTTTTTTATTTTTCTTATTAGGAAGGACATTGTACTTTGAATCATGGGATTAAGGAAATGAATACCTGGACAAGATGCTTGAAGTCTAAAAAAGCTTTCAGAAGACCCAAATTTAGAACCCGAGCAGTCATAAAGAAACATTCACAAATAAATGAATAGCTTTCACTTGGTTGACCAGAACTTGTTGTTTCTTGAGATTGAAGCAACCTGTTTTCTTCATTGTTTGGCTTGTTTTTGTTTAACCATTCAGTAACTTCCTCCGAAGATGCATGAAGAGCAGTTAGTTCTCTGTATTCAGTTGAGAATCATATGATCAAATTCATATTGAGGGATTGTAGTTTCAATCTTTTCTTATTTAGAAAAGATACATCTACAGTAGATAAAGAGTATCTTACTTGAAATCCAAACGAGAACCATAAAAGACATATTTAGGGTCAATTTTGTCTTTCTTTGTTGAATTTGCATCCAAGAAAGGTTCACACAATCGAAGCATAACAGCACTAAGGTTCACAAACATGCCTGAACTTGCAGAAGACATAGGATCAACCTATCACCAATCACAAATTATCCAATATTAATAAAACTTTCACCTGGATAGATAAATTATGTCTTTATGGTCTAAAAAGTTTTTTTTTTTTACCTGGATATGAGCCCTTGATGCATTTTTGTTGATCACTTCTGCAATATATTGGAGCACATTCTCTCGTGTGTTTGTGTTCTTTAAAAGAGACCTAAGAATTTCTGCCAATCCATCGTATAAATTGTTCATGACAGATTTGATTGTTGCAAATGAAGATAAAAGGTCAGCAGGGCGTCTTGTTGATGAGTCCATAAAACACTGCTCGCTGCATATTCCATGGATATGAAAGTTAAACAAAAAATGATCTAACAGAACAGATGGAAACTTGAAAAGGCAAGTCATATAATAGCCATGGAAATAGAAAATCAAGATCAAACTCACCCAACATCAGGCTGACTCTTGTAAAAACTTTGATCAGGAAGAGCACTGATATGAAAAAAAGGACCCAAGATGCTTGTCATCTCAATAGCACGGCCATTTATGAAAAAAACCTTTGGGAATCCACCATTGATGATTCACCAAAGCTTTAGCACCAACTGGAAAACTTATCAAGTACATCAAAGCCCTCAATGGCTGCTGAAAGTTTCCAAGAGCAGAACACTTGAGCACAGTCCCTCTTAAATCTTCATACAACTGCTTCAAGATCGTTTCCATGGAATCGTAATCTGAATCCCTAAACAACTCATCCAAAAAACCCAGGAGGAGAAGAGGCACCACCACTACTACCACCACCAAAAGTATCAATGGAACTAGAAACTTCAGAGAAAATCAAAGGCAACAATGGAGAAACATTCGATTTATCTCTTTGGGAATCGGCGAACATATCGGGGTTACCTAAGTGAATTCTACAATAGGACACTGCTAATTTCTTCGCTTGATTTACAACTAACTCCATCTGAGCCCTAACTGTTTTATCTTTCATATTAGCGATTTTCTTCCCTTCTTCATATGCGCGACGATAAATCCCAACTAGGTACTGGAAAGGGGTTTCCGCAGAAGTGAAATTACCTGATAGACGATCAACAAGAACTCGTTCCATCACATCCCTAGAAAGTCTCAGTTCACCGCCTTCGCTTAAAATCTCAGCTGCCGTCATCTCCAAGTAAACAACTCGTGAATCGTTCCCCATTGAATCTATTAGGGTTACAAGGAAGATTTTGCGTAGGATTATGTCCTCGATTTCCTCAGGCGATCGCTGCGGTTTTGCGGTGGTCGTCGCCATAGTCTCAGAATTGATTGATTTGATTGAAGACGGGAAAATGGGCAGTTTTGATTATTTTGAATGGGTAAAGAAGAAGGATCAACAAAAAGTTCTAAGAATTTTGTTTCTCCATTGTCAACAAGCCAATGGAGACTTGTATGTATCTGAAGACTTTATGTACATGTACATATACATATACATAAATAACATAATAGACAATACTTTACATACAAAAAGATAAAGATGTATATACAAAAATCACAAACAATTATTTGGTATCATTTCTTTCACAAAATACATGTCTTCAAAATTTTCAATTGGATATTTTATTTTTGTTATTTTTGTTTATACCCCTTGGTTCATGGCGGTTAGGCAATGGTAAATCTTATGATTTTTGTTCAAAACTATAATGTAGAATTCCCGTCGAATATAATTTATTCCGATTTATGAAATTTGGTCAAACTTAAGACATGCTTAGAAGGCATACCTAATATCAATATGTTTTTCCAACATCCCATATTGAAATATGTTACATAAATAGTCGGTAAGAATAACTTGAAACACTTGAAAAAATTATTCATAAAGTCTCAACCGGCAGACATATGTATACCGACAGTGATCTAGTGGAAGATGCTCTAATTGTCCAATGCAATGCAGTGGAATAATCAACTATTGGCGGAAATCATTCTATCAAAAAGGCTCCGATGAGAAATGAGCTAATGGAAGAGGAAATAGCTCAGTTAAGAATAGATATAGCAAAAGAGGTGGCAACAATCACATATGTATCTTTATCTCTCAAAGTGTTTATCAATATCCTCATGGATATTATGTATGTGAAACACCTAAACAACCACCTTTTATTATGTCGATGTGGTATAACCACAAAATCTTGGATATGTTGTATATGAAACACTAGAAGTATGTTGGTGATGATAATGTTGCTATATGTGACAATGTTATTCCCACACAAGCAATGATGTTGGTAAATATGATGATGTCTATGTCAGTAAAGATGATGATACAGATGTTGGTATAGGTGATGATAAAGATTACCAAAAAGTACTTCTATTGGTGGATGATACCAATCTACTTCCTTATGCCATTAGGTTTTTATATAGACCTATCCTGTTTACCTTGAAAAAAGGTGGTACTAAAATTGAATGATCGGATGATGATACATATACACAATAACATTATTCTATGGTATACATGTTAAACTACGATATCTAGATTCGATATACCATACTACACATAGGCAAAACTCGTCAGAAAGGATCGAAAACCTACGAACATTCAAAAAGAAATAAGTTTTCCAACTAGCACTAGGATTGCAAAGTGTTCATAAAAACTAATAGATCTTTAAAACTAAGGTTTCAAGCATCATGTTAACAAGAAAATTTCACTTGGAGTATTTTGATTGTGCGACTGGAGAATAGTGGCATGTTACAGGTCTAAAAACTTGCAGAAGAACACACGCTTAAAACTTACAAAAGAACACACGCTTAAAACCAAACCATCGTCAAGCAAACAAAAAAGTTTTGGGTCGTTTGATTTTCGAGGTCTTAGGTAGAAATTATAGCAAGGTCTTACTTGGTACCGACATCCAACAAGATTTCAATTGTAAATACAAAATAAATATTTCACAGATGATATGTGTGGAAATGTTATTTCTCAATAAGTTTTTTTCTTTGAAATTAATACTTCACTGCTCACTACTTGTATCTTACTAAACATTTAGAAAAGACTAAACTGCACAAATGGTCCTTGTGGGTTTGCCGAAAATTACCAATTTGATCCAAAAAAGGTTTGGATAGCACCACAGGTCCAAAGTTTTTATTTTGTTGAGAGTTTGGTCCAATTTACTTTAAACTTTTTTATAATGACGATTTTACCCTTGTTTTTTGTTTTTTCAGTTTTTTTATTTATTTAAACATTTTTATGATTAAAAGAAAATTTAAAAAATACTTCTATATCTCTCTTCTCTCTCTCTCTCTCTCTCTCTCTCTCTCTCTCTCTCTCTCTACACACACACACACACTTTTCTACACAGTTCATATCTTCCACCTGGTTTTCACATGTAGAAAAATACGACCACCACGATCATCGGCCGGAGATATGAATGCCACCAACGCTACTGATTGGTACCACCGATCCTTTATAGTGAGATTGTTTCGGAATATCATCATAGCTTCCTTCTCACCAGGACTGCAGATGAGGGTAATATCCCTTTCAAATTCGAGCATAGCCACATAAGGGTACTAGATTCCACATTAAAAAAATCCACCAGCTTAATAATGTTACGAGAAGGGTCAGGAAGCTCAGCCATAACAACATCAACAGCCAAAAGGACAGGAGTCGACGAACTAGAACCGGATTTATCAAAGTCGCACTACCCTTCAAACTCGAAAATCGGTTTTCTGGGAATTTCTCTTATGTATCAATCTTTTTGACAAGTAATGAAACTGATTTAGGTTGCAAAGGGTCAAAATGATGGTTAGAGGCGTCAACAGGAACCAATTTTGAGCCAACAATCGATTTTGCACTTATTTCCCCTTTCAATGTAAAAAAATCGAGATTCAGATATAGAGGATACCCTCAATGAAAAACGAACAACAACTAAATCCAAGGAAATAGGAGAAAAAGGCAATCAAGAAGGAAAGACGAAGGAACCAAAAGACCCACCTGAAAGTCAACTACAACCCACCTTAAATCTTCACTGTCAGATTCTCCTTCTTGTTTTTCCAGCATCTTAGAACACAAATCGATTTTGATTTCGATCCGAGAACACAAATCAATTTTGATATTTGTTTTGAGGTATGAGAATAGAGGGTAGCAAAAGGGAAGGGGCTGCCTTTTTCTCTGTGCGTGTGTGTGTGTGTTTGAGGAAGATGATGGGTGTGTTTCATGGGGAAGAAGATAGGGGTGGTGGTGATATTTTGTCTCGTAAGAGAGAGAGAGAGAGAGAGAGAGAGAGAGAGAAGTATTTTTTATTTTTCTTTTAATCATAAAAATATTTAAATAAATAAAAAAAACCTGAAAAAGCAAAAAACAAGGGTAAAATCGTCATTACATAAAATTTTAAAATAAATTGGACTAAACTTGCAACAAAATGAAAACTTTAGACCCGTGTTGCTAGTCCAAACATTTTTAGACCAAAATGACAATTTTCAGCAAACCACAGGGACCATTTGTACAATTTAGTCTTTAGAAAATCAACAATAACATGTATACTTAATATATTTTTATAATCTACAAAAAAAAAGCAATAACCTTAAAATAAACTTGCAACATCTTAAAATGTGATCTTTAAAGCGAGATCGATGTGTAAGAGTAACATTGAGAGCAATGTGTGCTTGAGAGTGTTTTTGAGGGAATTATAAGTTTATATTTTTTGTAAAATGATGGAAAAATATGAAAATTAACGTTTTTATACATATAATATGTAGGACCACTATTTTGCATGATGCATCTACGAAATGGGTATCATCGAAACCAATGTTTTAAAACCCGGTTTGAACCGGTTGGACCGGGAATCGGGGAAGGGAGCGGTTCAACTATCACCGATTTTATGTCTATTTCTGAACCGGATCGAACCGGTCGGTTTTTACAAAAATCTGGTTGAACCTGTTCAATTAAATCGGTTAAATTGAATAAAAACATATGGAATTGAAACATTTTGCATAATAAACTTTGGTAGTTTTTTCACATTTATTAAAATTTTTCTGAATAAAAACACATGATAAATGTTATGAAGTTTTTTGATGCGTTTATATTTATCTAGGACTTTATTTTTCTTTTTAATGCATGTGGATTGATGTAAAACTTATGGTTATGAGTTATTTTAATGTATTTTGATTGATCTACAACTTGTTTTCATGTGTATTTTAATGTTTGAACTTGTGGACATCAAATTCTTGATTTGTGTATGTATGTATGTGTATGAAAATCCGAAAAAATATGAAAATTATAGAAACCGGTTTACTCAACGGTCAAACCGGTTGAACCGGAAACCGGTAACCATACCGGTTCAACTAAAAAACCGGTTTTTAATACATTGATCGAAACAACGTCGCTTGGATGATTGTGCAGTTAGTATGCCCATTTAACATATGCTATATAGGAAAATGATAACTATTTTGATGATTATCTTAACTTTTGACAACTTTTTAAAAAGTAGTGGATGAGTACAATTTTTTTTTCTCTTAAGCTTATTAGAATTCTTCTACAAAAAAGTCTATTAGATTTCGTTTTAATTCTTTAGTTGATCAATTGATGTGTTATATCATTACAACTATATTTTATATTTTTAATTAATTTGTGTTATTAATACTCCGTATAATCTAATTGGGTACATCCTTTGATTGCTAACACCTTTCGTATATATCAATTTGAAATAATATGAAAACATCTTCAACTTAGAGCAAAAGTCTATTCATCAAAACGGATTAAATTGTTCAAAAATATAACAATGAATAATACATATATATATATATATATATATATATATATATATATATATATATATATATATATATATATATAAGTTTCTAAGATAACGCTGAGTTCACTAAAGGAAGGAAAATGAAAGAAAAAAAAAAGTAAATGATGTTCCTTTCCTTTCTCTCAAATTTCTTCCTATTTGGGAGGACAATATCTAAGAAAGATTGGTATAAATCTTTATTTCCTTTCTCTTCTCTTCTTTCCAATAAATAAACTCGGTAGCAATACTATTTTATCAATCCTTCGACTTTCCTTTTTCTCTCCTTAAATGAACTTTGGAGCAATGTGTAAAATCATTAAATATGTGTTCATGTGACGTTTTCTTCTCGATGCATATTATGGTATAATATGGTATTTGTTTCTCACATGAGCTCATGTAAAATAATGTATTAGACTCGTGTAACTTAATATATCAATGTGTATTAAATTTATGAACTTTAAAGATAACATCTTTTCATCTGAAAACATAACAAAGACATTTTTCATCTTTAAATATCTTTGAGGATTATATATAAATCATACATCATTATATTAAACATAGTAAATGCTAAACAATTTATATAACGATGCAACTCATGATATGAACTCACATATCCAAACTCCAAGTCATCTCGTATCATTTCAATATCCTCAACATCTAAAGAGTGTTACATTTTTACTCCTAGTGGCGGATGGCTAGATAGAGCATGTTAAACAAGTTAACACAAAGCATACTTAATAAATAAAAGCTCAAACAATATTGTAAAGCTAGGCAACACCTAACCATCATATATGCACCATTTTTTGTTTTAAAATGGTGTTACCAACTACTTTTTTTTTTTTTAACTTGTCAAATCTTTTTCATAATCCTTTTACACTTTCATACAACTTTTTTTCACCTATGATTTTTCCTGTTTAACATTTATTTTACAATTCTACTTGCTTTATTTTTTAAAATTAAAGACCACAAGAGGCTGTTTGTCATCAATTTTGGATAAGAAAAAAAATGATTTACCAAATCTGCAAATAATGGTTATAATTTTTAAAAATATAAGCATTAACATAATAACATATTCATTTTGTTTTATAATGTAACACTGTTTTTGGGTTTTAACATTTTTTTAAACAGTGTTAAACAGTTTGTACAACAAATCTCATATGTTAAGACTTATCTTTTTAAAAAATTTATAATTACTATTTGCAAAGTTTGTAAACCATTACTTTTTTTCCAAATTTGAGGACAAACATATTTTACTTGTGACGTTCAAATTTAAAAAAAATAAAAAAAAAATAAAAAAAAACACCCAAGTAGAAATGTAAACAGAAGTATTTCTAACACTACCTAAATAAATATGTTAAAAAAAACATTAGGCGATTAGACAATTGTAAAAAGAAGTTATAAAATAAAGTTGTATGTAAATTTCAAAATTTTAAAAAGATGTAAAAAAAATATATAAAAAAAAGTTTAAAGATCATATTGAAACATTGTTATATTAAAACACACAAGTCCAAATAAACTTTAAACAAAAATTATATAAAAAACATACATATAATAAAAATATAAAATAAAACAATCAAATGAAATAACTAAATAAACAATCTACATTAAACATTCATCAAAGGATTCTTGAGGCAACATAACTCGAAATACAGCATAATGATGATTTAAGCTTTTCTCTCCTTGTAACCTATGAACACTTCCAAGCGCACCATCACTCTTATTTGGGAACGCGTAGAATATACTCTTCACTCTTTGATGAACAAGCGCCATCGCACACCTGCTCAAAACAACATACAGATACAGATACAGATACAGATACAAACACTGATAAATAAGATAACACAAAGTTGTAATTAAAGAACTTACATTGCGCACGGTTCCCAAACAAGATAAATGTCATAACCCGTACATAGATACGGTCTGCCATTTGACTGAGAGTTGACCACCTCCTCTTCGTTCTTTACCTAAAAATAGAAGAAAATAGCAACCTACTTTAAGTTTTTCACCAATATAAGGTAATATACTTTATCTTTTACCCATTATAGCAATGTACTTACATTTTTTTTCTACGGATAATAGCAATTTTTTTTAACCAATAATAGCAACATAATTACAGATTTTGACCAATAATAGCAATATGTAACAAATAAAGTAGATTTGCCCATATTGGTAGCAAAATAGGGCTTTTGACATGAAAGTCCTTAAGTTTGTCAAATTTTCTCGGTTTTTGTCCCTGTTACGATTTTTTGTTCATTAATGTCCAAATTTTGACAAACTTAAGGACTTCCATGTCAAATTCGGAAAACATACTTAGGGTAAAACCGTAAAAACATAAAAGATTTGTAAACTTAAGGACTTTTATGTCAAAAGCCCTAGCAAAATATGGACTACGTAGCTATTATTGGTAACAAAATAAAAAATAAAAAATAAAAAAATGAGCTTACATGGATAGATTTGATCTTCTGTTTCTTTAACAAAGGATTTGTTTCATCAAGATGATCTGCAGCATGTTCATTGCCATGAAAAAGAAGTTTATCTCTAACTGAAGAATTTTCAATGGCTACAATGGCAGCATGTCTTAAAGGATGCCATGAACATGACTTCTGATTGGACCATTTCCATGGATTTAAACAAGAAACACCATTGCCATAATTTAACAATTTGGGTTTTGTAGCTGAAGAATTTAAAAGCAATTTGTCATGATTTTGAGAAGTTGCTTCATGATTTATGGAACAACAGCTGCAAGAGTTGACCTGATCACGTGCTTCAGCAATCACCTGATTGGTTGAAGGATCAATGATAATAGCAGCATTCATCATCTGCACATAATGAAATTGCTTTTATTTTTCTTTTATATAAAGTTTTAAGGATAATTTTACATTTTTCTTTATTGAAATTTCACCTGGCATTCACATTTTGCCAAATCAAGTGCTTGTTTCATGAAGGTGCAAACAGAGTTAGATTCCTCTTTTGAAAACCCCGTAATGCCCCTTATATTGCTACAGTTTAAACCACACGTTCAAATAGAAGTCAACAAAGTCAAACCATGGAAAATACTTGATTATGAAATGAAATTTAAGATGAATTACTAGGTTGGTGGATGATAAGATGTTGGCCATATTTTGCATTGTTCTATCCATTCTTCTTTTGATAATGGAGCATATTTGCATACCTAACATTAACATTAACATGAATTCTTTTTTTTTTTTTTTTTAAATGATCATCCTACAATAACAAAATACATCTCTAAATCACCAAATATAGAAATAGCATACTTTTGTAATGAAAGTTTCCAACTTATAGGAATTTATAAGCTCCACAACCTCTTGAGGTATATTGTCCAATTGGCTTTCACTTTCACCAACTAAACATAGGATCACTGATAAATGTATGCATCCTGATGAAAGCCACAAAAGTGAAACATAAGATCATAAAAACTATTGCCAAGTTTTATGCTATTTTTTATCAGAGAAAAAGGCAAAACCTTCATCAAGGTCTTGTTTTCGAATTCGTTTGACATGATGAAGGTTTTCTAATGGTAGAATCTTATTTAATTTCCTGAAGAGCAAACAGTTTTAATTAGCAATGAATGATGAAATTCAAGAAAAGTTGAAGTTATTAAAGAGTGTGTGCATACCTTACAAGAGTGTTGGCATGTTTAGGATCTATTACAGCAGCATAAACTTTAACTGCAGAATATAATCAAATTCAGTAAAAAGAAAATGACAGATGCTAAAGAACAGAGGTTGAAGAAGCTACCAGTGGGTTGTTGGTGGAGAGGGAAAGGTGGTTTATCTGGGATGTGAATAATTTCCCAGCTTTTATTCTCTTCACACTTGTTCATATTTCCTAACTACAAATTTCAAGTTACAAATCATGCATAACTGAATAAATAGAGTTGATGTAAGAGTGTTAAAACTGTAGAAAGATGATTCATCATATGCATGTAAGATATAACTCGTATATAACAATGTTTAGCAGCATAATAAACATATTAAAACCATGGTAAAATCATAGATTCTCATCTGTCACTTTACACTTACAGAAGCTACAAAACACCTAACCCAAATTTTACAGTGAAACCCTACCCTAGTATCCAGAATCAAGCTCTGACATTTGAGATTTGTTGTTCCCTTTCAAACCAAATTAAGATGAATAGATGATAATGAAACAACATTGATCAAAATCATGTTCTACAATAGTCAATCCGGAAAATTAAGAACTCCCACTGATTAAAAAAAAAAACTTTTCGGTCAATTTGAAGCTTTTTTACATCTAAATTTGACTCCTAACACAGTGAGCAAAAAAAAAAAAAAAAAAAAAAAAAAAAAAAAAAACCCTACAAATACAATGCCACGTTATTCACCACAAACAGAATAAAAAAAGAACCTCCGCGTTTCAATTTTTCAATTTCAACTGGTACAGAAAAATTGAAGTTCTGTACATAAGACTAGGAGATAAATTTACTTACAAAGGTCTTGAGTTGCGAAAAATCCAAACAAAAAAAGTAAGAGGAGGAGTCTGCAACTTGTTAGAATGCCAGAGACGCCGTCTCCGTCTCTAGTTCGAAGGTCTCTGGCCGTTGGCTTCACAGGGGAGGCGATCGCATACGGCGGCGACCAGGGAGGAATCGCTTGGAGCTGACGACGAGAGAAGCGATGGAGGGGTCGTATAAACTGTGTTTCACTAAGGTTTTATTATGTTAAAGGGCATATCCGTCAATTTCCAAATATTGAGAAATAAGAAGTTTTTGTTCTTTATAATCAACTCATCAAAAATGACTTATTATAGGTAAGGAGTAGCTATAAGTTATTATTATTATTTTTTAAAAAGTCTTTATCTAAACATTAGTTTTAGTTTATAGGTAATAAGTTAAAAAGATCTTTAAATAAGTTTAACTAAATACCCTCTAAGATCTCGGTCTTAATCTTAAGATTTTACGATTTGAAGATCTTATAAGCGAAAAACGATCCCGATCTTACTAGTATCTATCTGAAGCAAGATTTATAGTGAGATTTTAGATCCCGATTAGAATCTTAAAATCTTAACACGATCTGATATCATATCTTTAGTTTTATTACATAGTCGAGCCTCAAAAATCCATCTATTCAATTTGATATCGAGTATCGCAAGTTGCATGAAGTCTCATAGAGCATTATCACTTCATAATTCATCTCAGTGATCTTAAGCCTTTAGTTGTACATGATCTTGTTTCTTTTTTGTAATTAAGATGTTTTTTTCCTAATTTTTAAAGTTTGCAGTAACAAAAGTTATGGTCCATGCTTAAAAGTTAAAGTTGATTCCATATCGATATCTTAATCAACATCAAGTTATAATGTATAATGCGCACCCAAGATCTTACGAGCAAATTTGAAAATGAGTTCATTATAGTAGGATTTCGATCCATATCCGATTTCATGATCACAATGTTGTAAAACATAAAATCACACTGGGTAAGGTCTGACAACATTTATAATCTCAAATATATTATTGATCTATATAAAAACAATAGATATGATATGATATATACTAAACTTGATATGATTTTTAAGATAAATTGAGAAAAAAAAAACTTTTAATGTTGTCTGATCACTTTAAAAAAAATACAAAAGTAATCGAATACATTTCACAAATGATTAATGTCATATGTAAAAAACTATTTGTTTTATTATTATTTTTTTTTCAGAAAACACCTTTAATCTAAAAAAATTCCTATCAAAAGGTTAACAAATGGAATTAATGTATCTTGTACCTCTATTCAAATAGTATTTTATGAACAAAAACAAATAATTTGTTATTCATTTATAACCCTTTTTAGAATAATGGTTTCTCATATAAAAAAATAAATAGTTTGTTACCCATTTATGAAATTAAACATTTCACATAATAATTTTCTGTTTATCCTGCAATGTGAAAAAAACTTATATCCATACAAATTTCTTTATTCAAACATTTTTTCTGAAAGGTTAATAAAGATGGCATACTCCAAAAGGTTAAACTTAAACTTATGCCTAAAAGATGGCATAGCCAACAAAACTTATGCCTAACCTTTTGGACAGATCTATTTTTATATGTTATGAACCGGTCTCATTCGGTACGGTCCAATAAAACCAGATATGTTTGGCCTAGTTATAGAAAATGGCATACCCCTATAAAAAATGTTCGAGTCAAATGTCAAAACCAATTCATCTTTTCTGCTGACCCAATGTTAAAAACGAAACCAAATTATCTGGGCAAAACACAAAACCATGATTGGGATTGTTTGATCAAAAAAGTCAACAACTAAGATTAAGGGGGTGTTTGGATAGGGAAAAAAGAGGGTGTTTATTGTAGAGGTGTGCGCGGTGTGGTTTGGTGCGGTTTAGAGTCAAAACCGTAAACCGCACCACATGTGCGGTTTGAAATATTTGGAAACCGCAAACCGCACCGCGAAGGTTGTAAACCGCGTTATGCGGTGCGGTGCGGTTTGATACGGTGCGGCCGGTTTAGGTGCGGTTTGATACCATTGCAAATAGAATATATATATATATATATATATATATATATATATATATATATATATATATATATATATAATTATTTATTAAATATTTAATAGCTATTATTGAATATTATGAGTACATATATGGTTTGGATTACATTGCATAATTAGTTATCGTTCTACAGGTCATCAAATATATTACAACCCTTAACAAATTATACAATGCAGTTAGAAATATATATATATATATATATATATATATATATATATATAATTTGGTTCGATTTGTCTGAGTTTCAATGCAATTAATATATATATATATATATATATATATTATATATATATATATATATATATATATATATATATATATATATATATAAACATTGCGGTGCGGTGCGGTTTGAACCGCGAATTTGTAAATGTAAACCACAAATCGCACCGAATAGCGCGGTTTAAAAAAATTACAAACCGCAAACCGCACCGCAAACGTCGAAAACCGCATTATGCGGTGCGGTTTGGTGCGGTGTGGGCGGTTTGTGCGGTTTATGTGGTTTGATGCACACCCCTAGTTTATTGCTTATTGCTTATTCTCACCACAATAAGCTAAGTTTAAGTGTTTGGATAGAAATCATTAAAAATCAGCTTATTGTGGTAGAGATAAACTAAATAAGCTGATTTTAATAAGCATCTTCCCCCTTGCTTATTGCTTATTGCTTATTCCCACCGCAAATAAACTAATAAGCGATAAGCTAATAAGCTATAATCTAATTTATCCAAACACCCTCTAAAAACGTCTACAAACAAAATTATAAAAGTCATGACCCCTTTCCAATTACAACAATCAAATTGAATTTAATCAACAGCCTAAATTGAGTTCGATGATTTGATCTAACATTGTCAAGATCAAAATCCTACGTAGGATTATTTTCAAGTTTGCAAAAATCAGGACCGGGATCCCACAAAAATGACATAAAAAGGTAATTGATCGTATACAAAACCTTTTCTTTTCGTATTTCATGGTTAAATAGCTTATCATGTGGTAGTTATTAACAGTCCAAAGTTGAATCTCAAATTCTATCATTGATGAGGGTAAAACGTAAAAGGAAAAAAATAAATTCTAGAGTTGTTGATCATATTTACAATTCACAAAACACTATAAAAATAGGACTATTTTCGATTAACCTTTGGGTAAGAAGACCGGATCAACTAGTAAAAGAGTACAAATAATAAAAACCCGAATTAAATTTTGGCAATTTTCATGGATTTGTAGAATCAGATCCCAATCCTATCTGCAATCTTACATACAAAACGATCCTATTGCAATTCAGCAAGATTTTCATAGGTAGGTTCATAAGCCTACAATCAAGATCTCGCGTCCTTGGTTTGGTCATATAATTTGGTTTTACTTTTAAACCCACCCCTAACAAAATATATGTTAAATCCATCTGCATTTTGCTTCCAAATACACATAAAAAACACGGCATGTACATAACGACATCCAACATCTTTTTGAATCCATCTACCATCAATACAATAGTTGAAACAGTATGCGTCTAGTAAAAATATATCACAATAAAAGATTGCAGCTTGGACCGAAAAAAACAAGTCAAAAAGGCAGCCAATTTGTGCATTTCCAACCAATCTCCCCCGTCTTACACTCGTAAACCTGCCCATGAAAGTCAAAAACAAAAATCAAGTCATATCCCTTTGAAATTAAATCCCTTAAGTCAAAAAGAAACAACACCTTAATCCTATAAGCTATATATATATGTTTGTGTTCTTTTTGACTTAATGCACAAAGAACAACTTGATAGAAAAAAAGTCATGCAAATGAGACTTTCTTTCTTTCCCCATTAAGTACTAACTTTTTACAAATTTACCATATGAAGAAACAATACATAAGTTATGATTTTGGTCTTTCTATATATAATCCTACCATGACTTTCACTCAAACAATCAAACAAATAAATCTAAATTTGGCAAAACCCAATTAGAGTCATCAAATTTGGAGATGATAATAAGTCGATTGAGATAAATATTAAACTACTTAACTAATTACCTTATTCTGATTCTTGAAGTCTTCAATAATCACTTTGAAAACTTCAAAACGCACATCCAAATTCCAAACACCCCTTAAAATCATATTTAAAGTAAAAAAACAAGATACTATAAGATTAACTCATGCTTATACTAAACTTTCAAAACAACAAATTTTATAGTGACAATTTACCTGGTAACTGGACGATTCTGCCCTTCTCCATCAATCCTATTCCGACACCTCTTCAGAATCCGACAAGGGCAAAAGCGTACAAACACCAAGAACATGTCCATTCAAACACACAAAATACTCAATACAATCTTCATAAGCCCCCAATCTACAACTTGCACTTTGAGGAATCATTTTAGCTTGCAACATACTCCACAATTTCGCTTTACAATAAGGACAAAATTCACTCTCATGAAACTTCGCCCCTCTTCTAATTAGCATCTTCCTTACTTTCGAAGTGGCAAATGACTTAAATACCCCTCGGAAAAACCCCACATCCCCTTCTTCTCCTTGATCCAAATGCTCACATGGGTCGGAAACATACAAAACATCCGTCCTACAATTTGGCAACAAAAAACTCTTTCCGGAAGTTCTTGAAAACCTAGTACGATGTGCAAAATGTCCTGGGATTTGGATTTTGTTGAATAAGCCGTCTTTTTTGCATCCAGAACAATAGATTAGAAGCTTCCCGAGTGCACTCCAATTGCCATCTACACTGTGGGACCCACTTGATTGAAGATCATGCATCATTTTGGGGGCCCGCGTTCTGCAAAATTCTTTCCAGAGTACTCTTTTCACAAGATCGTCAAACCATTTGCATACGCATGAGAGAGTGGCGATTATTTTAGGGTTCCAATTTAGATGTTGGAGAAGTAGGAAGATTACGTCTTCACTTAAATGGCCTTTTGTGCATATACAGCTTGCAGAGTGTATGCATCGGTATTGTTTTGTTATGATCATTGTCTGCACATTGTGACGATAAAGAGTTAAATTCGAAAAATAGCAACGTAATTGGGTGGATTTTTCTAAGTACAAGATTAAGAGTACAATGTTGCAATATGAGACACAATAAATGGTTGAGGGTTGATTTATCACAATTTGCGGAATCACAGTAGGAGCATCTTTATTGATTAATATCCCCGAAATTGATAAAACTAAGTAGCCAAAGATCGAAACAGTTTAGAAATTTGTATCTAATCAGTAATCACTATTCGCCTTAAGCATAAATGCAATAAAGAAACAGATAGAATTATCTTTCTATCATATAAAAAACTAAATTAAACCATGACAACAACTAACCACAAAGAGCGATGATTCCCAACTAAAATAAACTTGAAATTACAAAGAAACTGCGCAAAGATCAGAGTTAGATACTTGCCATGTTCCTCACCTCAGCTCATACGCAACACCCTGTTCAAAACAAACCACCTGCGACGAAGAAATCAAAGGGAAAAAAGAAAACATATAAAGTTAGGGTTTCTTGAAGAACAGACATTGACAAATTACTGAAGAAATCAAAGAACCCGACTGAATCTAGACATTCAAAACATGCATAGACTGAATCTTTACAAAACCCAGATGAAAAAAACTTGCCTTTTTTAAGGGTTAGTTGGCGTGAAGGAAAAAAAAAGGAAAATCAAGAAATGGGAGTGAAGAATGGGGAAATGCCTCTTTGGAGTAGTTGCATATCTGATTGGATGGAAAAGAAAATAAATTGAGTCGACTCGAGGAGGGTATTATTAAAGATTAAAGAAAGTGATAAAATGACATGCAGGTTATTTTAATGTGAGATAGATGACATAGTGTATCGGTGATGTGGGCCCCGGTTATACGTGGATGATTGTGATTGGGTTGTGGGGATGTATGGAAACCCATCCAAGTCACCAGGTAAGTCTTGAGATTTATCGGATGGATGCAATTGGCACGCCAACAGTTGGCATTTTCTTCAATTTGATGGGGCGTTTGGTAAATAGCCGCTTTCCTGGTTTTTTCTTTTCTTTTTAATTTAATTTATTTTCTTTTTAATTACATTTCACATTTGTGTTTGGTCTGATGTAAAAACAAACAATTACAAAAAGTCATTTGGGTAAAGAGTTATTAACACCTCACCTTGATTCTAATGACATACACCATATATATGCATATATTATATATTAGATAAATTTTTATTATTGGTTTAAATGATTCATAAAATATATTATCTTCGGAATAAGTATAAAAACGATATCATTAGTCTTTTTGGTTTTATTTAATTGCAACTTTTTAGTTACTTAACATTATTAAGGTGTTGTTTGTTTTTTTAAACAAAAATTCATAAAATATGTGGACCACCTCTACAACTCTCTACAGTAGAAGAGGTAGATCAAACGTCTGTAGTCTGTAATAAGAAGCATATTTGTTTTTTAACATCTACAGACTGTTGCGGTAAACTGAAATTTAAATAAAATTGTAGCACCCGGGTCGCCAGGTATGAAGTTTCTAACTTAGTCTATTTTTCAATTCAAGTTAAGGTGGTGGAAGGATGGTGAGTACGTTGGGCGTACATTATGTATGCATGGCGTAATCGTTGCATGCGCGCCATCGGGGATCCTCAACGTACGCTGGGAATACCCATGCGTACGATGAGCGTAACCAAGCCAGGGGAAAACCCTAATTTTTACAGTTTGCACCCTATTTAAGGACCTTAAGTCCCCCAAGTCCCTTACCTTTTCAGCCTCAATTTCCCTTGTAGTGTAAATCTCGAACCCTAAGCCACCTTGAGTGCATTTGTGAGCTTTCTTGAGTGATTGTGGTGTTATTTGGTGAGTTTGAAGGAGAAAGAAGCTTGTGAAGAAGAAAGGACGTGGGAAGAGCTTGTAGATCCAGAAGATTGGCACCATTTCTGACCCATTGAAGGTATAAAGTTTAAACATTGATCAATACAAGCTTAGATCTAGGTTTAGGGTAGAAATGGTATCTTTTGGTCCCATAGTTTGGATTCTTAGAGTATGAGCAGTTTCAGACCATATGAGCTGTCCTTATGGACTCTTGGAGGTGTTTTCAGTTATAAAATCGGATCTTTATGGTTAAGCCACAACCATGCAAGTGTTAGGGACCATCCAAGTTGTTAGAAATTTGGGGTAATAATGACACTTGGAAATCTGAGTATCGTGATTATCACTTCAAATTAAAGTATTTGGGTGGTACTCCCTAATATTTGATTGGATAAGACTCGGAGAGACAAGAATAGAGAGTGTTTGATGATAATTTCGTATGTACCAGAAAATGTGACCAAAACCAACATTTAGATCTCTTTCTGAAAACTGTCATATGACGGTTTCAAACTCTCATGAAACCATAAAAACTGACATAAAAACGGATATTTGGATAAGGGTCAAACTAATGGTCAATTCTCTGAAAAACCAATTTTCTGATGGATTTTTAATATAGTAACATACCCTATATAAAAAATTTCCGCGCTGAGCTCGATCCCAGCCAGGTCTTGGACCCCGTTAGGGGCTGCCACCCCTTGGACCCCGCTCCCAAGGGCGCTACCCCCGGATCCCCGTTCGTTCAGGGGCTTCGTCCCTAAATGACATTGTACTTTGAAACTTGATCAAACTCAAACAAGCGTGTACTCCACACCTTCCTTACTTGTTTAATATTTATCAAGATCGCTGTTGGTCAACAAAGTAATCCCATTACACTTAAAATAACATTGATGATAACAAATCGCCAACAAACCTCCCCCATTTAAGTGTAATCTTGATTAACTGAAATGAAACATAACACCAACAAACAGATGCATAAATGAAATGTCGTGACGATTGAATTTCACATTTGTATATTATACAATCCAAATATTCGAATATCAGGGTGTCACTAAGGATTGAACCATTTCTATCCATAGTGAATACATGAAGATAATACACACAACAGTTTACATTCTTATAAGTTCTAACTTGACACTATATTTTACTAGCTTGTGTCCCATCCTTCAATAAGCATATCAAAGCCAAGTCCTAACTTCTTGAAGCAGCTAAACTTCATGCTTATATAGGTACTCCTTTTATTCTTGCACATGCAAATGCAATTTTTCAAAAGAACTATTAAGAATATAAATTCAACCTCCTTTACTTGCAGTACTGAACACATACCTTGGGATGATGATAATAATGTGTTCCAATATTCAAATATCAAGCTTTCCGCATTGAATTCAGCATCTAATATTACATTAGATGGGAATTTGGTATCTCAATATAAAAGATTTTAAGTGGACTTTAAACCCATCCCTACAGCCCCCTTGTGCACAAGATCTTTTGCTAACCCTTTGGTTAGATGATCGGCTAAATTCAACTGAGTTCTTACAAAATCCACAGATATCACACCAGTCATGATGAGCTCACGAATCATGCTATGTCTAAAACCTAAATGTCTAGACTTTCCATTGTACACTTGACTATAAGTCTTAGCCAAGGTTGCATCACTATCACATCTGATAGAAATGGTAGATATTGGTTTGGGCCATAATGGAATTTCATAAATCAAATTCCTTAGCCACTCAGCTTCTTTACCAGCAGCATACAATGCAACAAACTCAGACTCCATGGTTGAGTTTGATGGGTTTTAGTATACTACAACATCCTATGGTGCACATACAACCCTAAATGCTTTGGATCTATGTTTTCTCTAATTATACATGCAATATTGTTTCCAAAGCATTAAGCCTACAACTAGCATACAATTGACATAAACATCATAGAAATGAGTTATAGAATTACCTCTTTGTTGTAGCTTGTAGTTTTGGCCTTTAAGAACTTAGTGCCCCAAGTGTGACACATCAAATCGTTGACAACACACCTTGGACAAAGGATGGCTTTTGAGAGAATATTCTTACACTTAAAATCGGCTCATGGACTCTTAGAACCTCTAGTGCTCGATTTTGGATGCTAATGGGCTTCTTATATGGTGTGGCAAGATTAGGGTTACATCTATGCAAACCCTAATGCCCATGACCTTTCATATTACTTAGGATCCATGGGTTAAACCTCCATGGACTATCCATGGACTACCATATTGGTTTGGCCCATCGTAAATAACAATTGGCCCATACTATAAGAATCATTGATCTACCAAATCAATCCCCATATATTTAATTAGTCTCTTTTGATCACAAAATTAATTATTGATCAATCCTAATTAAATTATATGATTTCATATTAATATATTAGAACTTATAACATATTAACAAATCATAAATAACCTCTTCTCAAAAGTTCATCCTATCAAATTGTCGTGGTGATATGCTGTAACACCCAGAATCAGAAAGACCAAGAAAGAAAAGGAAACCCTAAGTCAAAGGGGGTCAACTCGTCGAGTCTAGGGAAGAACTCGACGAGTCGGAGCGGGTTCCGTGTCAAAGATTAAGTGACCGACTCGGCGAGCCGGCGAGTGGACTCGGCGAGTCTCGTCTGGGTTTGGAAACCCTAATTTCGGGACTTGGTACCCTATCTAAGCATCTTATTCTCTTCCCTAGGGCTCATTTGCGAAACTCAAAACCCTAGCCACCCAACTCCATTGTTGAGCTAGTTCTTGCCTTGAGAGTGAGTTGAAGCTTGGAGAAGGAAGAAGGACCTTGGTGGTGCAAGAAGAAGCTATAGATCCAGAGTTGGGGTAGCATTTCAGACCATTAGAGGTAAAAAGCTTATACCTTGACTGTTAATCATCTAGATCCCCTTTCTAGCATAGATTTTGTCACATTTGGACCATTTCCAAGGTCAATCCAAACATTGAGCCATTGAGGACGAAAAGGACTTAAGATCTAAGCATTTCTGAGCTTTAGAAGCTCTGAGGGGACAGCTTTACCCAGCCATGGCTTCATTTCATGACCTAGACCTTCATTTTAGTTTGGATTAAGAGTTTTAGCTTCATAGCACCTTACATGCACGTAAAGTTAGCAACTTTACGTGCAATTCTAGCATTAGAGGTCCAAATCTATGGGTTGAAGGTGTTGCAATGGACTGTAATCGACAGAATAGAGATGTCACAAGGTGGACTCGACGAGTCAGTACATGGACTCGGCGAGTCGGGTCGCAAACCCAAACCCTTCTGTTTTGATTCGGATCAGTGAGTGGAGTTATTAAAGGATTCAACCAGACTGGGCCCCGTAATGGACATGAAGATCATAGTACTCGACGAGTTCGAAAAGGAACTCGGCGAGTCCAAGACAATCTTCTTAGTTAGGAAGATGAACTCGACGAGTTGTCCATACAACTCGGCGAGTCATGGCCTAGGTATTCATACGATGATGATGAACTCGACGAGTTCAGGGATGAACTCGGCGAGTCGGTTGAAGATAGTCCTGAAGTGTTAGATGAAGGAGAACTCGTCGAGTTCTCGCTA